CAATTAATAACATGACTTTATAAAATTAGATACCGTAAAGGGAGATTAATTTAGGACTAGGGGTGATTACGTGTTAGTCACTAAAAAAAAGTTGCCAGAATACACACATGTTTTCGGCTGCTAGGTTTTTTCAGATTCAATATAAACACTTATAGTTCCCCTATATTAACTACCAGTACCGGTCTTAGACATTTGGCGCCCTCTCCTCGGCCAATGACATCACTCCCTTCCTCTTCCCCCCCCAAAAAAAAATAATTAAATTTATTACTCAAGCTATTTTTATTAGGTAATATTCGAATTTTATGTCATTCAATATTTCTGTAATACAAATTCCTTTATCAATAGGTGATCAGAGCCCTCAATGGGCACTAGGTCGGCGTCCCGGGGCAAAGGCAATTTGCCTCAACTTTAAAGTTAAATACCAAGGTTTTTTAAAGACAGGATATTTGTTTTGTTTTTTCTTTGATATATGCTGATTGCAGTTTAATAAGTTTAATGTGACTACCATTAAAATAGTTAAAAGGGTGAACCATGAGTATATCTACATTTGAAAGATTTTTAAATATACTTCTGCAGTATTTGGTTTCGGGCTAAATATTTTATAAGCTTACTGAAATAGTTGGAATAAACTAAAATTTACTCTTGAATAAGTCCAAGGCATTACTCTATGAATAAATTTCTTTGAATCGCCTACGGCCGGAAGATCTAGGATCCGTTGTGTGTGGGATATGTGTAAGGAAGGAAGCAGTAATTGATACAGTCTGGGACAAAACTGTTTATCATGAGTTGCAATTTCTTCTACTTTAAAAAAACAGTTTCAAAACGACGAAAAAAACAAAAAAAACCAAAACATTCTATTTGTCTTAATTAATATATTTCGAATTTGTTTTATTTTTTTCCTTATTTGGCTACAATTCTTTTTTATTCACATAATTTAATTATAAATTATTCTTTTAATTTTTTTGTTTTTTTAGTTGGTAGTATTATTGCTACCTTTTAACTATTTTAAAAATTGTTATATTTATATCCAATATAAAAGTGACCTACATTAAAACTTTAGGTACTCAGTGGACGCAAAATTTGATGCTCAACAACTTTGATTCTATTGGTTTTTCCTCTTAGGAAACTCAGTTTCAAGATACAGAGCTATTTGTAGTAATTTGTCTGTTTTTGACTAATTTTGTAAAAATCAGATTGCGTTGACCGTGGTCATCGACCATACCACTTAATCAAATTATTACGTTTAGGGTACTCGTTCGACGCACAATTTAACGTTCTTATATTTCTTTAACTGTACATTTTTCGCTTTCATGCGCTGTTTAGGTGTTATATGTAAAAAAAAAAAAAATGTCTTTTGTGGCTATTAAAAGTTTTCCCTTGATGGCCCGCGTTAGCAAATTTGTTTTTTATATGTTTGAACCTATGTAAACAAGTTAAAAAATGTCCTCACATTTTCGTTTCGATCTTTAAGTTACTGGTCTAATATTATTTAAATCAGCCGCCATTTTTGAAAGCAGAGGTTCTGAAATGGCAGAAAAGCTTCATTTTAATTTAAAAAACATACATTCAAACATTGGCTCCAGGGCTATTCCGAATCTGTTACGGAAAACTGTTTACATATGTTGCAATTGAACAGTTTTCGGCATCTGATTCGGAAAAACTATTTATGTATCTGTTTAAATTAAATAGGTTTCTGCACGGTGCCCAGAATTGGGTTTCATGGCGCAAGTTGCGCCTTCAAAATATTTGAGGGGGGCATATTTTGACGTGGTCATGAATTTTTGCGTATGATCTACAATTTTTTCTAATTCTACCTTAGCTTGCTCTGTTTTTAAGAAAAGGTGAGCGATAAAATATCTTGAGAGGAGGAGACCGGAAGGCTCCATTGACCTTGGGAGAGATGGACACCTCTGGGTTTCTTTATCTGTCTAAATTAAACAGATTCAGTGTTTCCTTCTTTTCTCGTCAGTATCGCCGCCTCCACCCACTAACCTGTAAACTGAGATGTCTTGGATAAGTTTCTGAACTCCATACTGAATTTATGGATGGATTCATTTTGCTCACTGTGGAGATCTGTTTGATTACATGGATGAGTTCAGTACTGATTTTAAGAACTTACCTCTTCCCTTAACTTACATCTGATAGATTGATACTAAACCCAATCACCACAAACGATTCTACAGGAAGGGGGGAGGCTTTTGGGCTAAAGCCACCCTCCCAAAAATGGTAAAATATAACCATGTCTTATAAAATAAATATTTAAAAATGATCTCTAAAAGTATTATTTTTCGTGAAATTACATTTAATAGGACTATAAGAATCAATTATAGGGATTTAGTTTGTTTCTTCTTCTTTTAGACTATAATCAATATATGCATATAAAAAAAAATTTCGGGCTGAAGCTCCCCCCCCAAAAAAAAAAATTAAATCCTGGATCTGTTGTGCCAATCACTAGTGAGGGGAAGATGATGATTCATTGTTTTTCTAAATATCCTACTTTACTCCCGCCACCTTATCTATTTATTAATTCCTTGTCATTCTGCCTCTTCTTACAATGATGATAATCAACCTGCAACACATAATGTGCTTCTCTTAGGCAAGCCCTAGGACATATAACACGTCTTTCTATAGTGCTTTAATAAATTGAAAAATTGAGGTGTAATTTCGAAAACAGATAACTAACCTACGTTAAACTCAAGAAAAAAATGTTTTCTTCCTTCCTTAAATTGTTTGTCAATTTAAATTTTCCGGCCCATAATTGTTAGAAGCAGAGTATTTTAGCTTGACAACATCAAGCTGTCCTCTGTGTGTATGTTAAGTAGAGGCAATTTTATTTTGAGTCTAGATGCAGGTTTTACTGAAGGTTATTCCAATACATCAGGCAGCAGTATCAGAGAAATTAATCATCTGTGGATAGTAATGGCTATTCATGCTTTGGAATATCTTTTGCCAAAGAGAATTTTAACAGATTGTGCTGACTGATAGAGTGATGATGATTATGAAAAAAAAATTGTTTTCCAATCTAAAATTATATTTTTATTAGAGTTGGATTTCTAGGGATTTTGCCACCCCTAGTAAACTGAAGCCTGGGACCAGTAACCCCTTTGCCTCTCTCTACTGCAAAATGGGTACTAACAAAAAAAATAGAGTATCTAAATACTCTATTTTTTCTTAGTACCCATTTTAATGAATACAAGATTTAAACGCTGAATATGGTACAAACATTAAATGTAATCGCTATTGTTCTTAGGGAGTAAGATGCCCAAAAATAAAATTTACTATGATAAGAAAAAAAAGTTGAAAAAGTGAATAGATTTTTCAAAATCAATGGTTTATCTCAAATGGATTGACCCATATTTAATTTTTCTCTTTGTATAAAAAGTGGCAGCCCTGCCACTCAGTATTGTTCAGTTCAGAAGTAATCTTGGGAGGAAATAGTTCAACAGATCACGTGATACTAGTGGACTAAATTTTACTAGCTCGAAAGTTTAAATGCTACCATGTATACATTTTTTACTAATGATTTTAACACCACTCGTTGTTGGAAGTAAACGTGGGATTCATAATCAAAAAAGATGTTGTAACATTGAATAAACCATTGTGTGTGAAAACTAGACATTATGCAGAATTGTCAACATTAAAAATAGATCCACTAGAAAGTTATGAGTCCAATATTTCCAAATAACCATCCTGACAATATTATTAATACAGGTAGAGCATTTGGGTGATCAGAACTTATCTTAACGTAGACAATTCTTCCTTTTTTTTTTCCATGTTTTCGGTCGTTTCTTTTATATAAAAAGTTCACTCCTGTATCAGTAACATAGGCTCACCAAGAAATAATGGACCTTGTTGAATACACAAGGTTCATGTATCAAGATTTTGCTATTTGGCTCTTCCATATGTTCTTTGAGGGAATATGGAAAAATCTGACCATTCATCAAACTGGATTGGATTGGGTTTCTCCTTCACCTTGCTTCCATACATTTTTTTTTACATTTTTCAACAACTGTTCCAGACAACAGCTGATTATCTTATAGGAAAAACATTCTCAGAACAAGGTTCAGTTGGAATTGTTCTGTTCAAAATTGAGCTTGAGCTAGCCTTGAAATGGTTACAATCCACCAGATTAATTTATAGTTTGAATTTAAATAGTGACAAAATAGTTATTTTTAAATTAGCAAGCAAAACAGTAATTTTTTTCATAACTTAATTTCATTAAAATAACTAGAAAGCTATAAAAAGATGTATAAGGATTTTTTTTTAACTTCAAAAAATAATTTATAGTTAATTCGTTAAAATCAGAAAAATGTTTCCTATAAAAGCAAAAGTGAATTTTGTGTGATTTAATATTTAACATAAATATGATTGAGCTACTTTAACTAGGAAAACAGACAATTAACTAAAAACAATAATATATGCATTTTGTTTTTGTTTTTTTGCAAATATTTAAAACTCCCATTATGGAAGCTCGATAGTTTAGTTTCTGTTGGGTTTAGTGAAAAATGTTTCAATAGGTAACATATCTAATTTTGACTGGGTTATAAATCTCCACTAATTTTAGTTGGACAAGCCCTTAAACCTTTAGATGCGCAATGTCAATATAGTGGCTCCGGAAAGACCATGCCCCTGACAGAAAACCAATACTTCAGCTTGTTACACAGCTCTGCACCAGGTACCCTATGAGACATAGGTTGTTGCTTGAACCAATAGATAGCAAGAGATGTATTATTTAGTCACGGGGTATAACTGCTTCCACCTCTATGTCACCTTTCTCTACTCTTTGGAACACTGTTTAGCTCTAAAACTAATAGCAGTTGGTAGTGTTTTAAATTGTGAAAGTTGAAAGTGAGTTTTAAATTTTTTTTTTTTTAAATTGATGTATATGTAATAAAGGTTATCATACAATGGAACATTATCATTTGATTATTTAAAAATTTCAAATGAAGAATAAAAAAATAATGTTAATGTTACAGTATAATGTAAAATGATTAATAAATTATAAAATTAAAAAAAAAATGTTTATTGAAATATGAGCTAAACATCATATTAAAGAAAAATGAATAAGTCAGTTATAAAAAAAAAAAGAAGCATATTTTAATGTGAAAAGTGCAAAAAGACGAGAGCAATTCAGTGAGCAAATCCTGCGCACACGGGCTTGGCTAGACCTTCAGTACTCCGCGCAGACGGAACCTGATCTTGATACAGGCTTTGTGCAACTAAAGGATTCATGTTTTAATTCTCATTACCATTTCTTTATATTTCTCATTTCACCCACAATTTCAGTCTATGGCAGTAATGAGATGATAATGAAATCATGATTGAATATCAATTACTTCATCTATTTACAAGTTTTAATTACTCAAAGAGAAGTTTGTTGGAGTTTTACCATCCCCAACCAACTTCTCTTCAATTATTTACTCTAGTCAACCATCAACCCATTATTTTTAATTACTTAATTGCTTCGCCTATTTGACAAGTTTTCATATTAAAAAAACAAACAATTTTTTTAATTATTTGTCTATCTGCCTACTATTTTCACTAATAAAAATATATGAAGGTAAGAAAATGCCACTACCCGAATCACGCTTCTCACTATACACTATACAATGCAAATTTTGCTGTTTTTCGAAACAATTTCACAAACAAAATACTATTTAAAAAAAGTTCACGTCAAAACTGCTCTTACTGAGAAACTGAGTATTTTTTTTTCCAGAATTTTTGGGAAGTGTTTAATAATTCACTTTTTAGGAGGTCTATTCATAATCTTTTTCTGAGTATCAACAATATATATCCCTCCTAAAACTTAAAAATAGAAAAAAAACTGTATCAAAATGTTTTATTTTTTAACTTCACTATATTTCCATAGCTAATATAATCAATAATATTAATTAAATAATAAAATGAATTTGAGTTAAAATTTACAGTAACTTCATAATAACATTTTGCTTTTAATGCAATTAATTAATTGATAAATATAGTACAAATAAACATCTTAATCTAAAATACAAGTCTACTAATTAAAGTTTCCTCTAAAACTAATTTAAAAATGTTAAAATTATTTCACATTATCAAACCAACCTATGTACAATACAGAATAATATAGTTTAATTAAAATAAAACATAAAAATTGACAATAAATATTTCAACAAAATGTTTTTATACAGCATTTATCGCGTCACCCATTTCAGGTGATATAATAATAATAAAAAAATATATATATAAATACATCAATTGTTAACTGGCTGAAATACTTTTAATGGTGGTGAATCAAGCCAAACAGCACTAGATGATCGGATCCTTTTCATTGTCATTTTACCTAAAATAAAATTTTTAAAAATTACTCAGTATCATTAAGTCTAAAATTAAATAATAATATAAAGAAATGTGGTTAATAACTTCTAATGATCTTTAGCCAATGTACCAAATTAACTGCTCCAGATGAATAATTTAATTTAATATTAATTCTGATACTATTTTGAACTAAAATGAACAGAACCATTTAAGCAAAATAAAAGAAAATTTAAGAATGATTTTAAGTTTTCTTATTATTTCGATACTTAAATATATGCAGTTAACGTCAGACCCAGAGCATAGGACCTTATCCACTCAGCTCTAGAGATGAGAAATTTGATTCTTTTAACTGAATCGATTATTTTCATTTTCTTTTTTTTAACTGATTGAAATTGCCAATCCTGGTTCAAATATGTTAAAAAAATAAAAACCTTAGATTTTATAAATAGGAAGGAAATTTAAACATAACAGAAAAAGTTTGTTTTTATGTTAAAAATTAAATTTTGGCCTCTGTACATTAATTGTAAATTAAATAAAATAAAGTGTTATTATCCTGGTATTAATGATCCTTAAGACCAAATTATAAATACAAAATAAATAAAACAGTATGGCCATACATAATTATATTAATAATAGGCAACTAAAAATAAAAGTACAGCAGAGAAAAAACAAAGAAATGAACAAAATAGTAATGTAAATAAGCATAGGTTAGAAATGTCCGAAGTGCAAAATGCTCGTGTAAGAGTAGATTCGGAAAGTAATCAAAACAACAGAACAGCAAATGGAACAAGATTGGAAGATTTCCTAGAACAAATGGAATATACTGCGAATCAACGGATTCCTAGTGAATAGGTCAATTCATCAGGTTTGTTCTAGGAAATCTTTCAGCATTGTTTGCTGAGTTGTTTGGTTTACATTCGGAATCTACTCTTCCATGATCATATTTATAACCCATGCTTATTAATAGCACTATTTTGTTTATTTATTTATTTTTTCTCTCTGTTTGGTTTATTTATATATATAGAAATATATACGTATAGAGCTGTTTTTCCTCTCCGTACCGTTTTCTTTTTAATAATATCTATTGAATCGACCGATTCCGAGTCAATTGTGATTCTTTCATGTGAATTACTTGAGAGTACGATTCTTTCAGAGGAATCAACTCTTTGATTCGATTCTCGATTCACCTGCCCATCTCTATACTGCCCTCTTAGTGAACCAAACATCATACGCAACATAATTCCAGAATTTAAGCATACCAAGCTCATATAACAACTACTAAACTCATATAAAAACAAGAAATAATTACCAAAAATATCAGTTAAATCAGGACTGGATGAAGGACAACAGAAAAAGTCCATAACTAAACTCATGGGATAGTGAACCTGTATTCTACTAGGTAATAATCTTTCTTCACCTAAAAAATAAAATTTAAATTATAAAAATAATAAGATTATATAAATAACTTGAATTAGAGATCATAGAAATAAAGAGGCTTGACTAAAAGAGTAGTTTCATAGTACGTAACAGCAGAGAACGAGGCCATTAACAACCATTATGAGTACAGTCTGCTGTATTACAATAATATACCATTTTAAATGATTTGAAACAAAGTTAAATCTGAAAAATATATTACTTCTAGCCCAAGTGGGAATTTCCTTTTTCAAATTCTCTTCGTCGATATCTTCTGAGTCTTCATCTGCCAATAGATCTCCAGTTATGCTGTAATTATCCTTATCTTTTAATGGGATTACATTGGCCTAAAAATGAAAAACAAATAACTAAATAAATCAATTTTAATAATTTAAAATACAACTGAATCAGTAAGAATGACAATAATATATCTTCCCACTAATTAATGGGTTTTAACTATTGCTCGATTATCAGATATATCTCAAAAATATAAACATAAAGTGAAAACTAAAACAGTTGAAATAATTGAACCGCAATGTTACCGAAAATGAGATTAGATATCTCATTCGGTAAGTCTGAAATTTATTGTCAATTTCCATCACCACTGTAAAATAAGGCTACATGAATATAATATAGAGATACCCAAGAAAAAGGTATGCTCAACCTGCACAGTTCTCCAGGTGACATTTCTTTTCTGCGTAAGGAGTTAGTTGTGATGGGAGGAAAGTTACTGACATCATAGAGGTACTTGTATGACGTAATCAAAGTAATGCCATTTGTACCACCCATTGGGGAGAGATTTGTGTCAACAATGCCAGATCACACAGGTTATGAATGATGGATCAGTAATCAATGGAGATTGCAATTGGGTGTTTGGTGTGGTCACTAAGGATTGTAGACTTAAACTCAATCGAACTTGTCTTGAACCAATTTGTATTCTATTAAATAGGACCAACAAATTATTGAGTTATACGAAGTTAGAATCCGTGTCCTATCACCCTTGAAGATATGGAAACAGCTGCTTTTGAAAAGTGGAACATTACTTTAAAGAAATGTAGATGGTGAGTTAATGTTGTCGATCAGTATATATATATAACTTAAAGTATCAATTATAGTCGGATAATAGGTCATTACATACACTCAAATAAGTTAAAATAACTTCTGTTTATTCCTTTTATTCAAAACGTTTCGATCCCTGTTTTTTTAACATAAATAATGGGATCCTCTTCAGTTCTGGAAAAACGAAACCTATCATTGGTATAGCAATCAAAAGTTTTCATACATTTCTACAATAATCCACATTTTTTCTTACATTTAATTGGGCATCGATACCCCAAGCCGGGGAGCACGCTGACAGACCCAACAGTACCGCCACAATGACATCAAGCTACTGGGAGCCCCAACGCGCACACCGATCCTGGACTCCGAGAATAATACTAATACCAACAATAACAGTGTACACAAAAATCTCTGTTTGGTTGTAATAAAAATTGCCAAATTAAAACATTGAAATTGCTAAAGAAATGAATTAAAACAACCTTACTTGTATTTACTACTAACGTCAAATGCTAAAATTTAAATAAGTTTACAATAAAATAAAGTATAAAGAGGCAGTCATTACATACAATAATAAATCAAATTAATATGGCTCCTACTTCTGTCCATTTTCTATTTCTACCACTAACATTTATATATATTGTAATGTACACCTTTATTAGAAGTGAGTAAAAAGGTTTTAATAAATTAATGTTGAACAATTAAAAGGCAAGCTAATCTAGTTCTACTAGTGCAGGGAAAAGAAAATGGCTGCTCTGTAGTTTCCCAAGAAGGAAAATCCCAAAGAGGAGAGGGACAAAGGTTTTTGTTTTGGCAAGCAGTAATTGTTGTGTGACTGGGGGGCGGGGTGGCCGAATAGGCTAAAGCGTGTGCACAGCACCGCTAGTTGCCTGGAACCGGATAACAGAGATTTGAGATGATATAAAAAGTACGAGTTCACGTCCCGGTGCCGGAGGGGATTTTAAATTCCCCGCCCTCACCCCTCGGCCCGGGAAAATCCCGTATAGCCTATAAGGCGAGGTAGAGAAGAACAAAAAAAATTGTTGTGTGACTGTAGTGAAGAGAGGATAGGAGAAGTGATCCTGGCTCCAGTGGGGGAAACCCAGTTATAGTATTAATACCATTTTGGAAGATGTGTTTGGCAGAACTTAGGAAAATGTTTGGAGAAAAATGAATTTAGTGCAACAAAGGAAGGAACAGTGTATATTGAAAAAAGGTTAGCTTGCCAATCCATATTTGACTTTATTTTAAAATCAAACAGTGTTTAGTATAGTTAATTTTATTTTTTCTGAGTTGATCTGATTGTCAGTAACCCACATCTGAGATAAATAAATATATTAATACTCTTATAATTTTGTATATTATTTAATTACCTCTTATTTATTTAGAAAGTATCCCAATGGTATAAAGTGGTCTGCCACGAGATATTTGTAAAATATAAAACGAGTAGATTTGTAAAATATAAGAGGGATGTTACAATATATATATATATATATATATATATATATATATATATATATATAATATATATATATATATATATATATATATAGACACATACCCACACATAAATATACTCAACGCTTCGGCCAATTTATATTGATTCCAATATATTATTATAGGCATAATTTAACTTGGCTAAATCATTACCCGTGTTTATTGAGTTATTTGTCATTCCAATATACATCATTTCGAGAATCAATCTTCTTTTTTATTATGTTCATTATCTAGGACTTCCACCTCATCAAAATAAAATGTGTGCCCCTTTCTAACAGCATGGCTGGCTAAAGCAGCCTCCTCCTTTTTGTTGTCTACGCTGTATTTGTGAACATAAAGTCTCTTATATAAGTACTGTGATGTTTGCTCGATGTACTTCCTGCCACAATTGGAGCATTTGATTTCATAAATTACATTTGATAACCTGTCCCGGCTAGTCCTATCTTTTAGTTTAGAGAAAATGGCCCTTTTAAGGCTATTTCTATATCTATACATAATTGGTAAATGGTTGACTGTCATGGATAATGAAGAGAATAGTTGGGGTGGTCAGTCAAAAAAGAAGGCAAAAATAAATGATAATATTTATTTTTACATATGCCACGGGCGGATCTACGGGGAGGGAGGGGGTCTTTTGGGCTGAAGCCCCCCCAAAATGGAAAAATATAACCCTGTTTTATGAGAAAAAAAATACCTCTTAAAGTAATATTGTTCATGTAATTACATTTAAAAGTACTTAAGGAATAACTTAAACACCATTTCATATAGTTAGTTAGTTTCTTTCTGTTTTTCCAAAGTAATTATCGTTATTTTTATGAAAAAAAAGATTTCGGGCTGAAGCCCCCCCAAAATTAAATCCTGGATCCGCTAGTGACATATGCCGACGTTTCGACCTGAAGTTCAGGCCATCATCATCATTATTCCGACTGCTCTAAGGTAAAGATGCAATGCATTGCATCATTGAATAATTGAATAATGATGATGATGGTCTGAACTTCAGGTCGAAACATCGGCATATGTAAAAATAAATATTATAATTTATTTTTGCCTTCTTTTTTGACTGACCACCCCAACTATTCTTCTCTTCATATTTCTATATCTATATGATATGCTGATATTGTGCCTGTGAAAAATTCTTTTTATTCTTAATGCCAAGGGCTTGATTTGGGATTGAATTTAATTTAAGGGAAATTGAAGCTACAAAAATATTTCTGTTCAACAACCCAGACATATTAGTGACATCAGCGGATAAAGGAGGTATAATTGTTGCAATACACAAACCATATGGCATAACAAAATGAATGGAATGATAAATAACAAACTGTATTATAAGAAAACCTGAGATCCTACCCAAAATCTCGTAAAGAAAAACAATGCAATAGCAAAACTTTTACTTAATCTAGAATTAATACAGTTTGATCAATACAACAGAATATATACTAATAATGCCCTACGGCCTAAAATTTATGGACTCCCTAAGATACACAAAGCCACTATTCCTTTATGACCGATAGTCTCCTTTGTAAATTCGGGAACTTCCGGCTTAGCGAAATTCATAATGATTTAGTCAAGTTAAATTACGCCTATAATAATATATTGGAATCAATATAAATTGGCCGGAGCGTCGAGTATGTTTAGGTGTATGTACACGTATGTATGTGTATGTACACGTGTCTATATATATAAATGTTAGTGGTAGTAATAGAAAATGGACAGACGTAGGATCCATATTAATTTGATTTATTATTGTATGTAATGACTGGCTCTTTATACATTATTTTATTGTAAACTGATTTAAATTTTAGCCTTTGACGTTAGTAAATACATGTAAGATTGTTTTAATTCATTACTTTAGCAATTTTAATTTCAACCTATTTCATTTTAATTTCAAGACCTATCATCCAACTATAATTGATATTTTAAGTTATAATATATAAAAGGCGAATTATAAAAAATGTTGTAATATATATAAAGGTCACCTTAAACTTGAAAAAAAAAAAAAAAAAACAATCTAAAATTAGGATTATAAGAAATTAAGCAAAGCTGTTTACCATTACTATACATAATATTGAAAAACAATTGTATTTTCCAAAACATTTCTATACTTTTTAGCACAAAAATATATAAATATGTTTTTCAGAGTTTAATAATGGTACTCTAAATAAATGATCTATTATAACATGAATCAGGAAAATATATTTCTTAGAATATAAATCATATTGATACATAAAACATTTTTCTATCAACATATCAATCCATCACAAAAGGAGTGTCGCATACACACAGCAAAGGTTAACCAAAATGAAAAGTATTACTTATAAAAAATTGACTATTTTAATATATATATATATATATATATATATATATATATATATATATATATATATATATGTTGTATACCAAATAAGAACATAATTAATGTAGTATTTAGTGTATTAAGTGATTAAAATATCTAATACATATCAATTCGTGCACAGATATGTCAATGAGATCTTTCAATGAACATAGTAAGTTTAGAATAGAAAAATAAAATGGCTTTACAATTTAGGACAATTTAAGAGGAAAACTTAAAAGGTGATTTATGAAAATAATTAGATTCTAACACTACCCCAGAGGGCACAATTTTGTGATGAAACAATCCTTTTGTGAGTGTTAAATATGAAGAATTAATATAGAAGTAAACATTACCTTCATTTTCTTCTGAATTTCCTTTTGATATAACTTTTGTTTTGAAACTTCTTTAGCTCTGTAAAAATAAAATAATAAGACTAAATTATTTTTTTCCTATTTTTATAAGTGGTAACAGGAAACTATCAGATGCAATCATTAGGTAAAAGTTACAAAAGGTAATTAAAAAATAACAATATCTTTATATATACCATTTCCAAGTCAATTTCAAATTTTCTTAAGTCAAAATCAAGCTTTTCCAAGTCAAATTCAATCTTTTCCATTTTAAATTCAACCTTTTTTTTTTCTCTTCCAATAATAGATATATGGCTTAGCAATTGTATGTGTAACCTTTGAAAATATCATTAATTTTAAGATTAACTAGTCGGATTTCAAGTTGTTTTATCTTTTCAGATCTATCCAATATATGCGCCTAGTATTATGCTATCAATAAGCAGTTTTTAAAAGTATTATCGGTTTTAAGATTAGGTGGTCGAATATCGATTTATTGTATCTATTTGGATTCATTCGATGTATAATCTCCATTTAAAGATGACGCCATTGCGTTCCAATTAATTTAAGTTCTTCAATATAAGGGTCTATTTATGTGTATCCGAAGAGTTAATTTTTTTTAAAAGTATCCCTGTTACAAATTATGTCACTGCATTACAAAGCTTAAAATTACAGGGCGGCTACCAGACAGTTAAGGTAAAATTCCCTGAAATTTTGCTATTTAATGATAGTTTTCCCTGAACCAATATATCAGGGGACACAAATATTAAAAAATGTATAATTTATAACTAAATTTATTTATTATTATTAAAATTGACAACAAAATTATTTAATCTGTTGTGTGCATCACACAACTTTTATTTACCACCCTCTTCTTAGCAGGAATAAGTATTTTCAGATAAAGTGGAAGTGAAAGTAAAAATTATAGATGCTACATTTATTTATATTTCATTGTGGGTATTTTTATTTGGTTAATTACCCTTATATATAATGTAATCGCCTATATATATCTTATATTGCTGTAATCTATACAATTAAATATTAAATAATATAAACGATAGCATTTATAAAAACCTCATATGTATATGTACATAATATTGTCGGAATCCGTATTATATTAAGCTAATTTTACAAATGAAAGCCTGTACTAATCTTTCAGGCCAGCTCGTAATTCCTCTGGTTCCTCTATTATAACTATTTTTCGTTATGATCACTTATTTCTTCTTTAGTTAATAATCAAATTCTTTCATATTTTATAGTTATAGCGAAAACTAGCGAAAACTGTGAAATGGTTAATTATTTTTAAAAAAAGTTAAAAGTACTTTAGAGGAAGCTAATATTGGAAATTAGTCATTTAAGCCCTTTCAAACATAAATGAGAATAACACCTCCAATATGTTAAAACTGCTTAATAATACACTGATATACTATGTTTAATCAAAATCGTTAAAACCATTTTTGAGAGAATCGTAAAAATGTGTTAAATAAAGATATAAAGCACCACTTCCAGTTTACTGAAAATGTTGCTGTAACAAACTTATAAATAAATAAGCAACTTCAGGTTTGTACGATTTTTCGTTTTTGAGCTAGGTTGTCCGCACGCACACACACACACACACACGGACAGACAGACCATTTTGTGGGACTTGGTTATTTTGACTCAGAGGATCTCAAAACGTCTATTTCCGTTGAAAACTCAGATTTGAAAATTTTCACGATCACAATACTTACTCTTCCTATATATGTAATATTTATTAATTAAAAATCACAAAAAGTATGATAAGTTCAACATGCTTCCACTTATACACACAAAAATTAGCAGGAATTTAGGGCTACATAAACTACATGAAATGACACAAACTGGACATCTGGATATATAAAATGAAAATGAGTGGGGACTATTTATTTATTTCTTTTGGAGGTCTTAAATTTAAAAGTTACTGGTGCGGTTTTGAAGAGAAATAATTCAGATTTCTAATGGTTATAGTAACACTGAATTAGAAGAAAATTCTGAAGAGTAATGGATGTTTTAGTGAATGGCAGGGAAAAAATTCTAATGAAAAGTGAAATGGTTACTATGGTAAACAGCTCAACACAACACTGTCTATCTTTACATAAAATATTGTAGTATTTTGCCGTGTAGATTTCTTTTCTGTTCTCAGGAGAGATAGATTTTAATAAATGAGATATCAAACAAAAGGGAATTATATGGAGAAGTGACAAATTATTAAGTACCCTACATGGTCATTTGGAATGGAATTCTGAGGCACTATTGACATTTTGATAGATCGTATAAGGTTGGGGCGGGGTGGCCGAATAGGCTAAAGTGATTGTAACAGCACCGCTAGCTGCCTGACAACCGGATAACAGAGATTTGAGATGATATAAAAAGTACGAGTTCGCGTCCCGGTGCCGGAGGGGATTTTAAATTCCCCGCCCTCACCCTCCGGCCCGGGAAAATCCCGTATAGCCTAAAAGGCGAGGTAGGGAAGAACAAAAAAAAAAAAAAAATTATGAATAAGGTTATGGTTGGAGTACTGATGGGCACAACTGACGGATATCCGAAAATCCAACTTTAATCACTAGAAGTGATGGGGAGACTGAAGTATAAGTGGTGGGGAGACTAACCTTACTACTAGATAGGTTAGTTTACCTTGAGCTCATAACCATTAGTTTTTCATTTCTCTATTTTATATTTTTATGAACAATTTTTAACTGATTTTTTTTTATTGCCAAGTGCGCAAAAAAATTAATCTTTAACTGTGGTGTATCTTTGTCAGTTCTTTTGCCATTTTTCTCAACAAATTTACGATTTTCACAACACTTTATCTTAATTTTTGTAAGTAGTTGACTTATATTTTTTTAATCGATGTCAAAATGATTTTCAGGCAGTAGGAAGTAATAATTATGTCTCCATTTTTCTCTTGATGTCAAATGCTATAAAGGATAATGGCCAAATAAGTTTTTTTAATGAAATACATTATTATTAAGGACAATACACCAGATCCACGCTGCTTCTTATGTCAACATCAGTCTGACTGATACGTGTAAGGCTCATCATGATTGAAGCAATCATCGGCAGTAATTCATGACTGATCATGTAGGGTCTGCTTAATATGCAAAATATTCACACGAGCCAAATGGTTCGTTCTGTACTAATAAAATAACAATATTCCAATTACCTTTGATCCTCTTGTCTCATTTTCATAATTCTTTCATTCTCCTCTAACTGCTTTTGCCTCAACTCTTCATGTTGCCGTTGTTCTTCTTCCTGTGATTAAAATAAAATGTTATTTCCCAATATAATAGCCATGAAACTTTCCCATCAAAATAAATATGTATCAAATGATATTTAAAAGTAATCAAACTTGTATAAATCTATATAAATGGGATCATTACAAAAATTTACAGCAATTCAATAATTCAAATAGATAAAATTGTTTTACGTTTATAAAAAACTTATTTAATTGATCCTTCAAAGGGAAGATAATATTATAAAATACCATTTCTTTCAATTTTGCAGCCCTTGCAGCTTCTTCTCTAAGCCTTCGGATTTCTACTTCCGCTGCCTTTGTCTGGTTAGCCATTTTCTTTTTATAAGCCTCTTCCATCTTCTTACGCTCAATTTCTGCTTTAGTCATTTTCTCCCTTTCTTCTCGTTCTTTTTCTTGCTTTAAAATAAATTCAGTCTTTTCTTTTTCAGCGGCTTCACGCATCGCTGCTGCCTTAAGCATTTTTTCTTCATGTTTTCTGAAACAAGCATGAGACTTTACATTTACAAGAAAAAAAAAAGTTAATTTTATAACAGAAAAATCAATATTACAATATATTTTATTGAATTGGAGTTCTTAGAACTGTTTGATAAGTTTATAGAAGGATAAATGCATTGTTCCATGAGATTCATTGTGGGTTATTCAAGTTGCTCCTAAAGGAGAGGCTGATATACCATACTAAAATAATTTTATGTTCTATTATGTTGATTACTTTTGTTTCAACTAATTCTTCTTTTCCTAAGTACAGTTTTTTTTTGAAAATTCAAAAACCTTCCAAATGATAATTTGTTATGTTCCGAGAAATGAAGCATCTCAATTCTTCCTAAAAACAATACACTTTTGCACTGTATAGAGATTGATTGATGGATATGGATTTTATGTCAGTTTCGATGCCTTGATCAAAATATCTAAAAACTAATTTGTACTATATCTATTTAACAAATTGATACTATTGCATTTTTTAAATTCTCCTACTTTTTAATTTATATTTTATTTAAGACCTAGTACAAATTACGATTTTCACATTCTACATATAATTCTCTAATGATACCTCATTCATCAAAATCCAAGACTGCTGAGCAAAAAAAAAAAATTTTTATATTCAGAAATAATATATAATAGATTGTTTATAATTGAAAGTCATTCTAGAGTATGTATACAAAGGAGAATAAATGTTATATTTTATTTATCAGGAGGAAAGAAAGAAAAGAAAAAGTACTCTTACTTCTTCAGCTCTTCTTGCTTTATTTTAAGCATTTCTTGCTTTTTACGTAACACTTCCTCTTCTTTCAGTCTTTTAAGTCTGGCTTCTTCTTCCTTTTTCCGCTTTTCAACATCATCCATAACAGACTTGTTTCTTGTAGCCTGAAAACAATATTTTAATCAATATACTGAGCGTGAAGGCAGTCAAGAAAAAACGAAGGGTCGGTGATGTAGGTATATGCCTGTTAGTAATAACCCTTAATGAAAAACTTTGAAATGATTCCATAGAATTAAAAGGAAAAAAAAATTACACTTGATATTATAGGTGCAGGCTTCTTGTTAGGTGTAATATAACCATTCCTAACTTGGAGAGGAGTTGTCTTTGTTATCATTCCCTTTCTCACCATGATGGGTGTTATTTTTTCTTTCTTTTCAAGCATCTTCATAATACCAACCTGATGATTCTAAAAGAATAAAAAAAATTATTAAAAATATAATACTCAACTCGGCTATAAATGTGTAATTCATTTAGAAACCTACTTCTTTCTCTTGCTCCTTTGTTATTGGGACTGGAGATAAAAGCACCTAGAATCAATTGAATTATTTCAATAATGCTCATAAGAATGGAAACGAGCCTTGACATTAAAATAAGCATGCCAGAATTATTATCTTTTTGTCGACTCACCTAACTTTATAAAACAAATAATGCAAATTTGAAACCAATAAAAGATTGTTTTCAATATGATATTCCGATTTTATTTTGTTTGAGAAACTATTGATAAGCTCACTAATGCATTTAAACAACTGGCTGAGTTATTTGCTTAACATTTAATAATACTTTTTTAAAAATTATAAATAATAAACATTAACAAGTTAACAGATAAGGAGAAAGGAAAGAAGTTCTACAAATAAGTGACATTTTGGAAATACCCGATAACTCTGATTTTTAATCTTATGATTTAATTATTCTTAGTATCCTTTGCAAGACATTTCAAATGTTTTTTTGTTTTTTTTATTGAATATATAAATCTTAATGAATTTCCTGTAATCATATGAAATATGAGAGGTTTGAAACTTCAATTTCTATTTATTAAAAAAAATAAGAGTTACTGGGATTTCCAAAACACCAACAAAAAATTACAAAACAACAAACTGATGATGCATTCATTATAAAGAGGATAGTCATTATATTAAACAAACGTAAAAACTATATACAAAGCCTCATTTAAATAACTGTTTTAATAGTTATTCAAATTATTTTTCTCAGTTCACACACACAAAAAAAAAAGCCTTTAAATTTAGGATTTAGGACACATACCAAACATGTGAAAAAATATAAATAATCACCTAAATAGATCATCATATAAGTCTGTCAACATCATTGATAAATATTTTTAGTCAACAATACTTAAAACCATACCTTTCATCAACAGATAATGAATGGTTGATAATTAATGAATGATAATAAACTGATAGGTATCATAACAGAAAATAATTTAATTGAAGACGACATCAAATTATTTTGTAAAATTATATATACTAGTGTTGGCCCAGTGCTCTAAATTCGACCATAATCATTATTTTAAATTTAAGGAAAATTATATGAATTTGCATAATTCCAATATTGCTTTTTCTGTCCTACATTCGTCCATACACTTTAACACGTACTTACAATACAAAATAGTTCAGTACCATTTGTGTCATTCATAAATAAAATTTTGAATCTAACTTTACTTTTATTCAGGCTCATTTGGGAAATACTGATGTATAAAAAAATTAAAATGACCTCAAGGAGTAAACTTTGGCCAAGTCTCATTAAAATTGATACACAATGATAGTGCTGTTTTGGTATATAGCATCTGAAGTTTTTCAACCGCTTTCGAAACAAAAGGCCGGATGGTAATGAAATTTATATAAATACACTCCTGAATTTCATTGCAAGGTTGTCTAAAAATTTCAAAGCAATCGATGAAGAACTTTCAGAGATTAGCAGTTTTGAACATATTAATATTTACATTTTTATTTATAAACACTGTTCCAAAATTTATTTTTTGATAACACAAAATCTTGTCAATATCTGACAAAAAAAAAAAAAAAAAAAAAAAAAAAAAAAAAAAAAAAAAAAGAAAATTGGTTGAGAAACTGAGAAAAAGGTACTGAAGCGTTTTGTCTATGGCTATTTATATAATGACGATAGACAAATTAATAGATAGATGTCATTGAAAAGATATTTAAAACTTATATATTTATAGATGTGAAATTAGAATATATTGTAATAAATTAATGAACTGTAGTAACTTAAAAACAAAATAGACTTTTTGGACAAGAAAAACGTTTAGAAATTAGATTGTCAAAATTATAGAAAAATATCCTTCATATTGTTTGAAAATTTCCAATTGAGGTATTGTGCTCTTCTCCGTAACTACTTTAAAGCACTTAAATTTAATACTAATCAAATTCCACAGAACTTTTAATAATTCATATAATTATATTGAAGTAAAACTAATTTGATACAAAAAATTTGTAATTTGTTTGATCTACCTTAATGTTGCAGGTTACGATGAACACTATTGGAGTAAAAAGTAAAAGATACGTAAGAACAAAGAGGATTAGTCAATTTAATTCATTAATATTATATATACAAGAATACAGTTTAGTTAAAAAACTATTATGTAAAGACTCAAATAATACCTATTCCTTTCCTGGCTCTGATTTGAAAGAACATAAAATTTATACATCCAAATTTTTAGGTTATTGACAAATGTTAATGTTAAAACTTGTTAAATTTGTGTTCTTTCATTAGTGATGATTAAAAAAAAATAATCACGGAAGTAAAAATGAATTAAACTAGAGACAACGACAAATATCTCTAATTTTTATATAATGTACAGACAAATACTAGAATTATTAATGATGGTTTTAGCTAGTGAAATTTATACATGTAATATAAACCTAACATAATTTGTGTTAAAAATTTATATTATTTTTTTATATGAATCTCTCTCTAATAAATATATTAGTTGAGGAGAAGTTGAAGCAATAGACACATCAATAAAAAACAAAACAAAAAAACTTCTCTCTAAATAAACTAAAAGCAATTAGAACCATTTACAAAAGTTGGTTATAAAGTTGAGAGTCTCCAGAATGAAAATCTCAGGTTATAGGAGAGTAGGAGGTTTCAGGAGCTCAACTTTTCAGTCTACTCCTCTAGGCTCGATAGTGCTGCTCTCTTATGGTGATCATTTTACAAATTATACAACTGTTCATTTAATTACATATGCGTTGAGCTCCTGTAACCTCCTACTCTCCTAATACAAAATAAAGATTTCTGCTTATAATATTTTGGAATTCTAAAATAATGAAATAAAACACCTTTCTTTTCCTTATTTTAAAATTATATGAGGGATAGAGAGACTAACTAATCTGTAATTTCATTTCTTCAATTGTAAAAACAAGTGAAAAGATTGTATAAGGTACAGCATGGTATTAACATAATAATTAGAAAATTATGTAATATAAATAAATTGTAATTGTTATAATTTAATGTCGTTTTGTAATTATAGAGATGGATATGGTGCAGGTACACCAAAAGCTACTCTAGTTTTAAGGTTTAAAATAAAATAATTGAAAAAGAGACTGTCATAAGTAAAAAACCTGAGCATCAAAATGAGATTTTTTTTTTTTATAGGCAACAAGGCTTTAACAAATATAATGATATAAACTAATAAAAATAAATTATAATTACCAGATAATAAAAATTGAATTTAATAGTTTAAAATGTATTATGAGAATGTAACATACCAAAGCTTGTTTTTCATTTATCATCTTTACAATATCTTTCACTTTTTTCTTTCCCATTTCACCATCAGAGCAGGAGTTGATTTCACTTTTTGCATCAGAATCCTCAGCGGACCTTACATAGAATACACAACAATAGAATATGAATAGGATAACCGTTGATCATTGATTTCAATAAATCCAATTTGTGTTAAATATTTCATAATAAAGTAGAAAAGTATACTGTTTCCAGTCATAGTTGCAATGAACATTTAACATTGATAAATTATTTCCAATATAATAGTTGATACCCTATTGATATGTACACCCATAATATGCAAATCAGTTAGTTCAATATGTAGCAATCTTTATTTTATGTTAGTACACCATATCCTCTTTAATATTCAATTAAAAGTTATGGCTGAAATCATTTTAAAGATGACTAATAACAAAAAATAAGCAAATTCCTCCAAAGAAAGCAGACAAAATAAAACAGTTGTAATAAAAAAATCTTTTCAACAACAAAAACGGTCAATTCAAAAATTCACATTGATGTGAAATGTCTAAAGATCAAATTTAAAATAGAAAAACTTGGAAATCATAATTCAGAAAAGAATCTGCAATGAAATCAGGAATATAAAACACTTGAGACATTCATATGAAACCCACTAAAGGATGATGTTGATAAAAAATCATTTGCCAATACATTAAATAATAATAACAATATTGTAATCAATATTAACAAAAAAATCAGGAATATTGAGAAAATTTTGAAATAGCAATTATCTGCAATGTTTAGCCAGTTCTTTGTGAATTTTTTTTCAAATTAAATTGGTTTTTAGAAAATCATGAAACTGGGCAGCAATTTAAACACTGTAAAACAGCACAATAAAAACTCTTGGTAACGAAAATCATCAGATATATTTAAAAATGAAAAAAAAAAAAAAAAAAAAAATAAGCAAGTATACAATCTAACTCATTATGAATAAACTATATTTTCCATTAAAGCAAAATACCAACTTCAATAGTGGCCAATAATTCAATTTTAGAAAGAAAGAAATACACTTAAATTTCAAGAGTTCAATTTTTAATAATTATATTATTATTAGTTTAAAAAAAAAAATGGCAAGGGCAAGTCAGAAATATCATACTAGGCTATTGTAAGGTTCTACAATATTAATTATTTAGAACTTTTGAATATGTAAAATTGTTACAATTCTGTAGTTTGACACACAAAAAAAAAAAAAAAAAATTTAGAAAATGAACCTCGTAAATTTAGGAATATCATAAAACTCAAAGAATTATAAGCAATGTTTTGGACAAACAATATAAACAAATCTATTCTGGGAAGTATATAAAACCTAGGACTTGTAGTTAAAGCTGTACCTTCTTTTTCCCTCATGTCAATCATGAAAATTATGCAATGTGCTTGCCATCAACACTCATTCAATGAGATTTATATGTTCCATGATTTATTATAAAATCTTAATGATAAGCAACAAAACAAACAACTGTGTATACCGTAAAATATATAATTTGTGATTGAATACATGCATGATAATAAGTTAATGAAATTCCCTAGAAAGCGAACAAAATAAAAAAACTCATCATAATCTCGGAGCATTATTAATAAAGATTCAATTGATTAGCCTTAATAGTCATGTTTTAGTTTATAGTTTTCAATACTCAACCTTTGTAATTGCATCGATTAACACCCTCAAAATTCATTGCATTTACTGATTTCCTTTATTATGTTATCAAGTGATCACTGATCAATCGTTTTTATTAATGCCCTTCCCCTTCCTAGTCTTTTCAACGGCACAGGATTCCATTTTATTGTAAGCAACAATAAAATGTAACTTTTTCTTATTATATTTCTATCCTGGAAACACCCCAGATAGAGATTGTGGAAGTCTGTCTTACTCCCTTATTGAAATGGGCTGCGCTATTTGTTCCTTCCACCCATATACCAATGCCTTGTAGTATGGGTAATTATCTGCAGCGACGGGTAGAGGAAAATCTGCTTTGTTGATACTTGTGCTCCTCATTAGCTTGGCCCTCAGTGCCTCAAACGCAGTGCAATTGGTGATCACATGCTCAGCAATTTCCAGGATACCACAACCGATGTCTTGCCCAAAGACTGTAACTTGGCACGAAAACCCTTATGCCCAGTGAGGAATTGAGACACCCAATAATCTGGTTTGATCCATCTGGCTGCTTGTCCAGACTGTAAATACACTGTAACGGGAAATACTGCCTAAAGGTAGCCCCCTTAGTGGTGGTGATCCACCGCCTGTTCCACTCTTCGACGGTAGCTTCTCTCACTGTTGATTTTCATCTATTGGATTGTTCCTCAATCCTCGCGCGAATGTCAATCACTGATCTATGTACCCTTTGCATTGGCCAACTAATAGATATAAAATATATTTTGTATGGACTATATTTGTATATGTAGAGGTGAACTATCATAGTACAATTTTGCTGATTTTAATCTCTGATAAAAATGAATAAAATCTGTTGTATTTGTATTTGTCTATATTTTCCAGGTATAAGTATCGTGAATAAGTTAAAGGGGTAATAAAATATGCAATAAATCAAAGATATAGATTCACCAATATCCACAATAAGTGAAACAGGACAAGTTAAAAGTTCCTTTTGCTCTGTTGTAAAACTTCGAAAATGGTACTTACGATAATTTTTCACTGAAATACTTAAATCAACTAAGGTGATATGGATTTAACTGGGAAAAACATATATAATTAATATATCCTATTAAAATAATACAAATTCATGTAAATAATATTAGCAAAATGTTTATTTTCTTTTTACCTTTCTGCAGCAATCTTGTCCTTTTTAGGTTTCGCCATTTTTGACCTAGTCATTCTAATATTAGACACTGGAGCTCTTTCCTCTTCAGGTGGAGTATGATTGCTACACAATATAGGGAAAATTAGAAAAAAGGAATATATATATATATATATATATATATATATATATATATATATTCCTTTAATTATATATATATATATATATATATATTATATATATATATATATATATAATTAAATCAATAAGGCAAAACTAAGAGGAAAATCATAATAAAAATTACCAATCATTTAAATTTGATTTTGGCTGTTCCTTTGGTTTAGCCATTTTAGATCTAGTAATCCTTGGTAGAGGAACAGGGGCTTCATCTGAAGAGAATGCTACATTTCTGATGGAAACAAATAAAAAAAAAAAATTGTAGATGCATTAAACAAAACAGTTATTCTTTATCTTTTAACTGTTATTTGGTAAACAAAATGTTTTAAAAATAAAAGACAAAGTTGGTTATCTTTTTAAACTTTCAATGCTTTAATGGCTGAAATAAACTATCTATAACAGTTTATTTATGGGTCAGATTCCATACAAAATGGTTATTTTCTTAAAAACTTACTCTTCTGATGAAGAAACAGGCAATTCTTTCCCCTTCATCATTTTAGACTGATTTGAACGTTCTTTTACAGGAGAATCTTCATTAGATGAAGGCCTAACAAAATATTTAAACATAAAGTAACAAGTAATAATACATAATTATTATTTTATATAAAATATATGGAAGTAAAAATATATTTTGATTCACTGAGCAAATATACTCCAAAACTATAAAATATACCTACCATATAACATATATATATTTGGTTATATACAGTTTTGGTGCAGTATTCATAAATGCAATGTCTGGTATTTATTAATATCGAATTACTTAATAGATTAGGACATTCTTAAAATCAAAGTTTAAATTAATATATACATATATAATATACTTCAACAAATAAAAATACCCCCAGCAAAGTATGAATATATTTATTATCACAGCCTAACCTAAATGCAGCCTCTAATGAAAAAAATGTTTCCTGCCTATGAGATATATATATATTTTAAACATATGAATTATCTGTGGTAATATCAATTTAATTAATATTAGAAATGACATTCATGCTATACAAAAACTCAAGGAGGCTGAACACACACTATCATAAAATCATAATAATAAAAATAACTATAATAATAATCCCATGAAGAATTGCTAGTCTCCTGTCCCTCCCCAGGTGGCGGATTGTAATACTCACTAGACATGGTGAATATTGAGAAAATAAAATATTCGGGGTGGACCAAAAAAGTATCAAATCCAGGTTCAAGTTTCCAAATTTAGGGGAAACTGGGTCAGTGTTTGATCCTCATGTCAGGGGCAGCAGCATATATATTACCAGACAGAAAGGTATCAAATACACTTACCCATTAAATATGGAGTAGCGAAATAGGAGATTAGCCTCGGATGAGCCTAATATGGAAGGTGCATCAGACCAGTTTTATAGAAATCTAATGCAAAAGGAAAAATAATCCAGTAAATACCCTGATACCATTGAAGCCTGTTATAAAAGTGTATGAGAAAAATCGGAGAATCACATTGAGCGTTCTTGGATAGAAGAAAAAATTTGAAATTTCCAGAATGCTCCTGAAATGACAACAGCAGTGGAAGATGTTTCAGAACTGGTCAGGGACATGAAAAATCAGAGAACAACTGGATCTGATGGAATCTAAAATTATTGGATTAAATGATTTTGTTGCTTACATGAATTGCAGGCCAATGGTTACCAGGAAACACTTGATGACAAGCAGATACCCTCTAATTGTTTCTCTAATGGTATCACTTACATGCTTAAAAAAAAAATTACACCTGTGTTCTGAAGATTTCCAGTCAATAACATGTTTAAATGGTATGTATAAAATTCTAACTTTTATCTTGGCAACTAAGATATATAAACACCTCAAAAGTGAGAATAGAACAGCTAGGATGCAAATAAAAGACTAGAAATTGGAAAGAACTCTTAGTAACTGGCTCATCAATTTCTGCACAAGTTTAAAAAAAAAAACAGCGAGACCTCTCAATGGCATGGAGCAATTATAAGGTTTTTGACTCTGTACCACACAGTTGTACTAAGTCCTAGATATATAACGAGGGTGGTCTGAAAAGTTTCCGACCTAACAAAAATACGAGACATTATTTCTGAAATTTTGTTATTTATTTTTCAACATAGTCTCCTTGAAATTCTACACATTTCTCTCAGCAATGCTCCCATATCTGTAAACCGTCAAAAAAGTACTCAGCAATTTCTCTGCAAAATAATTGTTCACAAAGGTGATTGCCTCTTCATTCGAGGAAAATATCTGTCCTCCGAGAGCAATATTTAGATAAGAGAACAAAAAGAAGTCGCTTGGGGCTACAAATGGTGAGTAAGGCAGATAGTCAAGCAGTTCAAACCGTAATCCATGGATTTTCGCCCTGGCAACCGCTGACGTGTGAGATGGTGCGTTGTCTTGGTGATCTTTTTCTGCAAATGAGGCTGTTTTTCCGCAAGTTCTACCTACAGCTTATCAAGTAATGATGCGTAGCATGCTCCTGTAATGGTTTTTCCTTTTTGAAGATAGTCGATTAAAATAACTCCACGACTATCCCAAATAGTCGCAATCACTTTCCCAGCTGAGAAAACCAACAGTTTTTTTTTTTGAGCCGGTTCTCCCTTTGCAGTCCACTGTTTGGGACTGTACTTTTGTTTCGGGTGTATAATGGTATATCCAAGTTTCATCTACAGTAAGTAATCAGCACCAAAACTCGGACTTATTGCGCCTAAACTGCGCCAACAATGTTGGAAATGTTCATTCGAATACATTTTTGGTCCAACGTGAGCAAACGCAGCAACCAACATGTGGACAGCTTTCTCATATCTAAATGTAGATTTAATATGTAACAAACACGTTCCTTTGACATGTTCATAACCTCTGCTATCTCTCCCACTTTAATTTGGCGATTGTCTAGCACCATTTGGTGAACTTAGATCGGTAGCTGCAGTTTTTGGACTTTCCGAACATTCATAGTCTCCCAAGCTCTAACAGCAATCTTTAAATTCAGCTGCCCAAAATTTCACTGTGGTAAATGATGGTACAGAGTCCCCATACACAGAATCCAACTCATCTTTGATTTGCGTAGGCCTATTGCCTTTCAAAAACAAATATTTAATGACAGCCCGATACTTGATTTTGTCCATTTTCACAAAAACACTTACATCAACTCACTCAAACGACTGACATAAAAACTGTGCGCCCAAAATGGCTGAAACTTTGGTGGGTAACTGTCAACAGATGAACAACGAAATTCACTTGCTTTTATTTACGAGTGCTGCCATCTTCACGTTGTGGTCGGAAACTTTCCAGACCACCCTCGAACAAAGTTCAATTTAATGTAAATAGGTTCCTTTCAAACCTAATGGTAGGATGGATAGCTATGCTGAAAGTAGGAGCTCCCTGCACAGTCAACCACATTAAATATTGAGAGGAATATACCAAGAGGATAGTCTGAGCCAACTCAGAAGGAAATTATGAAAGAATAAGTCGAGAAACAAGCTTATCATCAATGAGGAAGCGACCAGTCAGCCACAGCTGATATATGCAGACCTCAAGCTATCCGGGAATAACAAAGAATAGTTACAAAATATGGTTCAACATTGAATATTTAATAGTTGACCATTGCATTATAAAGGAAGGAGATGGTCCGGGGTGGAGGTCATAAATAGGCTAAATAGTTTTGCCACTATTTAGTCTATTTATGACCGTCACTCCGGATCATCTCCTTCTTTTATGGTTCAAGATGTTTCAATTTTTTCTAGTGACATAGGAAAGTCAAACGTTCTCGATAAATGTGTGGTACTCCATGCAACAAGGGGAAAGCGGTTATTATGTATAATATTCTGATTAATGAAGATTATATCAAGGACCTTGAAGCCAATAAATTATATAAATATTTGGACATGCAACCATCAGTCAAATGGTTAAAAACGGGAAAGTAAATCTCTGAGACAGAAGGATTTTTAATCATCATTCAATATCGAGTTATTGCCACTAGATCACATAGAAGACACGTTCTAAAATACATAACAATACCAGATATGTCAATAATGCACAGCGACGCTGGAATCAATCCAACATATATGATGAATGTGGAATGCTAGCCAGTACAAAGTAGCTCCAGGAGTGTAACGATATGGCCAACATTTTCCACCAGGCTTTGGTGGTGAAATTCAACTTATTAGATGATAAGGGCACATATTATAACATAGAGTGTCTAAGTTAGTCTGTAGGAGAAAAGAGCTCGCACAGCCTTTTCCCTCTCAAGTTCCACTTCCCCTCTTCATCCTAGCAATCATCTCATACCAGGAACTTGTTTTTCGATGCTCGATTTTCTTCTAAATTCTTATTTCGTAAAAGAAATGAAAAAAAAAATGGTAAAAGACATTTTAACATGAAAAAAAAAAATTATAGAAGTACGTATGAATGAGTGAAGACAAAAGAGTGGGATTGGCAGGAAAACGTTTTGCCACTTTGCACCTCTCTCGCCATCTACCCACCTGCTGCAAACTTATCTTAGATGGACCCTACCACCCAAATAGGTTTCCTAAGCTCTATTGGGATGATTCAATTATTACCATACTATGCACCACAAAAGACCAGATATCCTTATATATTTGAGAGCAAAATAAGCAGAACTTATTGATATCAGAATCCCTAATGATAAGAAGCTCCACTGTGGAAAAAAACCCTCAGAAAATATTAGAAACTGGCTATCGAATTGAAGGAATTATAATATCATTTGAAAAGCGTCACCACCACTCAAATTATAATATCCACAAATGGTCTGATACTAAAGACAACTGTGGCAGGCATCGAAGGTTTAAAATTACAGTTGGTTAGTTATTTTAGAAACAGCATATATTGTCAGAAAATTTTTAAATATTTGAAAATAAAAATAAAATAATAGTAATACGAAGGTCGCTGGACTCAGGTCTCCCATCTATGATACTCAACCCCCAAAAGTGAGAAAAAAACAGAAAATAAAAATAAGATAAGCTCTATAAGGGTTGATACCAAAAAGGTTGCCCGGCCAGGAAAGAAACTTTGCGCCTCAGTTTAGAAATATTCAAGGTTTAATTCTGAAGACTAATTTTTTTTTTTCTGCATAAATATAAAAACTTCCTTACCTTCTTCCGCGAGAACGCAATATTGATATTAGTTACAAATAAATTTTTTTTTAGAATGCTTTATTCACTTTATTATGGCTACTTAATAAAATTACAATTAATTGTTTTTCCATTACATATTACAGAAAGAAGAAAATTTAATACTAATTAGATCCTACAGAACATGACTGTATTGAAACTACTAAAAAGAAAGTAAGGTTTAGAAAAGTTGAAAGACATTCAACAAATGCCATAAAAAAACATTGCCAACAACTTTTAAATATAGTAGCAATATATTTTAGTAATAGAAATATAGGACTTACTCAGAAGATGAGGAAGAGCATATTTTTTCATTCCCTTTTACAGCTTTTGATTTGGATCTAGTAAACCTCTTCTGAACAGGTGAACCCTCATCCGAAGACGACCTGAAAGTTGAAATAGAAAATGTATGAAGGATATTTAAAATATACTTAGGTATCTAGTACCACTATATATTTAAAACACATTCACTTAATTACAAACATTAATACAATACTCATTCCATTCAGCTCTCATTGGCATTGTAAATTGCAACCTTTATAAAGTAAATGATAAGTTCAATCATAGTGGTGATATATATAGAGTGGAACAGGCCCAAAGTCACGGAAGTGGTGGGGGAAGAAGAAGGTAAACCCCTCCTACTCTCTCAAGAACAGACAAGAATTCAATATATAAATCTATTCAGTGAAAAAGTTTGTTGAATAAATAGACTACTATCATGGGGCAAAAACTATCAGGACTATATTTTTCTACGAAACCAAGATTTCTTGTTATGCTCAGGTTTCAGATCAGTTGTATCTACTTGTGTTAAATTATCACGGAGATAGTTCCTACACAAACAAAGATTTACGAGCATAAACCTAGAATGCAGCCTTTGATATTAAACTGGGCTGTGAATTTAAGAAAAATTTAACTTATTAGAGAGATTTCTGGGAGAAATGACAAGTTACTATAGCAATACAACTGTAATATCGATAAGCTTAACTGAATTCACTGAATATACAGTAAAAAATAGATTTAATTTAAATTGGAGTCATCTTTTCTTTTATTAAGTAACAATGTTGATAACTAATAAAGTGTTCCTGTGCTGGGCAAATATCCTTTTAACTCATTTAAAAAAATATATTCTATATATTAAATTATTACACTTATCGGGAGTGAACAGTCATTCTTTGAAAATTATCTCTATCTCATAAAAGTTTTCATTGGATTCTGATGAAATTTATATGGGAACATCATAATTCGTTCAACAATGGCAAAGTTATAACCATTTATAACTAATGATATGTTCATACATTCCTTAAAAAAAAAAAAAAAGACAAATTGTGAACATCCTTAATTTAATCAAGTAATGATGACAGTCTTATTTAATAATAATTACTTGAGTACAGTGTTTATAATAATAATAATAGTAGAGCAACAATTTTTTAATTATAACACTTATTCACAGCAACACTGATCTTACAATTTTTTCCGCAGCAAAAAAAGTTTGCTGAAAAAGGTATGAAGTACTACTTACATATTTATATATTAGGCTACACTGTCCGAAAACTAAGATTAGATTCAATATTTCATATTTTTTTTTTAGTAAAATATTATTGATAGCAAGGGATTTCAATTAGCATTTCAGACAGAGCAATAAATCAACACATGTATTGCCTAGTGTTGCAGGTACAATTTCGAGGCAAGGCAAATTAAACTATCTGAGAATGAATGGCATAATCGACCACCATATGCAATCTACACTAAAATATATTATTTGAATATATCATTTGACTATCAAGAAATTTAATTGATTTTTTTATTTGTATTTAGAAAATAAACAAACCATCATAAATAATATTTCTTTGATCATTCAGCTACTATAAGAAAATATATCTAAATTTTGGATAGAGACAATAACTTCCTAAGTTAAAAAGCCTTACTCCTATTTTTTTTATTTATTTTTTTTATTTTTTTTTTTTTATAAATATATTCTGTACTTTTGATATCGGCCTAAAATAGCATGTTTTTATTATAATAGAAAACCTCAAATCCTAATCAGAGATTTGTTGATTTAACTCTACAAAGATATTTTGCTACTGTTAGTGCAAAAGGCCATATGTAACAACTTACCATGTTAATTTTGTTTGAAGTAAAGATGACATTTTGAAATCTACAATTGCAATAAGTAGTCTGCTACTATGGAAAACAGCAGAGAGAAAAATAAAATATGCATAAAGAAATTATCAGTTTTTAGGCTATTCTTAAAAAAAAAAAACTAATCATTTTTCACAAACAACCTTTGTATTAACAGTAAAGAGATGAAAAAAAATATAGTAGAGCCTTATAACTTATGAGAGCAAGAACCATTCAGAGTAGCAATTCTTAGTTGCATTCTCCAATTTCGTTATCATTGGCTTTTTAAATGGCCTTCACTCTATGGTAGCAAATTCAAAGACATATTCTTGTCATAAAAAACAAATATTCATCAATAAAAAAAAATCTTTTGCCTGGATAGTTAAAAAAAAACATTAATTTAATTAAAATAATAAGTATAATAAATTAGGACTCAAGTGATAGAAAACATAACATGCAGATAGAAAGAAAACCTTTTAACTTACATAAAAAAAAAAAAGAAAAATTTGTCATACTTACTGAGATGAAGCAACAATTGTCGCATGAATAGATGGATTAAGAGGAACAACAAAATCATTTGAAACATTTTCATTTTCAAGATGTTTCTTCAGTGTTTTATTATCTACTGGTTCCAAGTTTTCTTTACCCTCATCTTCACTGGATAAAATAATAGTGTTTTTGACTGTTAGATTAATTGTTTTTAATAACTTTGAATTGGTATTTTGATGAAGTTTGATTGTCTCATCTTTCATAATAACTGAGTTGACTTGATTAGATGATGAGGATACAGTGGAGCTTATAGCTGTTTTGGAAACATTCGTGATGGATTTCATTTCTATCCTAGTAACTTCTGTATTTTTTGTGATATGTCTTTCACTTTCAAGATTAGTATTATTTTTTGAATCAGGAAGAATGACAGTCTTTTCTTGATCAAAGATAGTTTTATCTGTCTTCTTACCTTTGATAAATGTTTTTGACTGAACAGTATTTTCAGATACTTTATTGCTGCCTTCATTATTTCTGGATCTGTTTGAGTTTTTCGAATTAGAATTCTTATCTGTATCAATTAAAGGTTTTTCTCCTTCCATTACTTGATGGCTTGAAGTTTTGGTATTTAAAACTGTCCCATTACCATTTAATAAACCAATTTTGCACAAATTATTATTATCTTTTTCTTCTAATTCATTATCAATGATATTCAAGATGGATCTTTTTTCTGAAAATGTACTTTTAGCTTTCAAGACTTTCTTAGGTGTATCTTGTTGAACAGCTGAAAAAGATATACAAAAGATCAAAATATAAAAAAAGTACATAAAGAAACTTGAAGATATTAATTTATAGATGTCCAAGTTCTTCACAAAATCTATTTATTTCAAAGATACTGTAAACTATTGCTCTTGTCTCCAACTAATTATTAAGTAGTGACAAGTATCACAAATGTCTCAAAGAATAGAAGGACTTTAAGTAAGAATTAAGAGAAATGACAAGTTAAACCCATGATCTGATGACTCTATATAACAAGTTAGCTGAGCATGATATCCCTTAAATATCTTTCCCAACAATATTTGGTCCCTGGCGACCGACGCTAGTTATGAAATTCCTTAAGGCACATACATCAGTTTCGAGGTATACCGCTACATTTTGACAACAAAGGTGAACTAAATTTTCTATTCAATGTCTCTATCTGTTAATTGTGTCCTCATTAATGGCCAGCAATCGTAGGAGTGAACTTGGACCTCCGATACCGTTTATATGACAAGTTTTTTATTATTTCTCTTTATTTCAGTAAACAAATGTTATTTTTCGGAATATAAATTTTAAATAGTGTATAGATGGTTAGCCATGATGATAATATGATGAGAAGTTTGTAGGGGGGATGCGATCAATTGAATACTATATATCAAAATTTTTTTGTTTACGTAAACAATAAGTTACATAATAATTAGCATATTGTGGTAATGCAAGAAAAATATAGGTATTTGAGTATTCACTATTACATTGGAATTTATTTTAAGAAAAGGAAAAATGAAAGTGAATTAAGTTGCTAACTACTTGTGATACAGTGATAAGTGAGGCAAACAGAATCCAGGCATATACTATCAGTCCTCACAGAAACTATTGACTTTCCGTGATTCCTCATTTGCCTCCTTAGTTTCTAGGGTCTTTCTCAGTTCTCTGTAGCATTCTCTACACTGCTTTCTTCCCTCACCTGAAGGCTTAATAAAAGAATGGACACAACGCATTAGACCTGGTGACAGTGGTCAGTGCTGAGTTTTGAGTTCATCAGCGAGAACCGATCCGAACGTTGTAGTTGATATAGGTTTTTCTTTTATCATGTTAAAGATGATCCAAGAATTAACCACCGACATCCAAACATTATCTCAATTACAATGCATATGCACTTCCTGTCACGGCAGGAATATGTATCGGACGCTGAGGGATGATAACATAGAGAAATCATTTTTTATTAGTCCGGTACGGTACCGGTCAGCGGCGTCCTATAGCTTTATATCAGATTGAGGGGCAAGTGGTCTAATGAGTGCATTGCCCGGCAATCTGATAACCGTAGTTACAAATGATAAAATAATTGTAAGTTCACATCCCGGTGCCAAGGGGGTCTTTTAACTAGGCATTAATCCCCCGCCCTCACCCACTGGCCCAGGAAAAACCCTGTATGCCTAAAAGGCGAGGTAGGGAAAGAAAAAAAAACCTTTATTATCAGATAAAATGATTATTTACATTTGTATCTTTCAATCTATCCAACTCCCTTCGAAATATTTTTAAAAATGACCATTTTAGAGACTTCGTAAGATAGGCAAAATTCGAAACAATCCCGCCCACTTGGCAATTGAGACAAATATCGGACCCAGGCAACCATAACCCAGCTAACTTTTTAAACTATTAAGCAGTGAAGTCAAATCAAACCAGGAAACCTATCTGGATTTTAAACATATATGAAAAGTGACTAGAACAATATTCAAGTGTCATTCAAGACTGAACAGATAAATATAATATCTTCTTAAATCAACTCCTGATTATGTTTAAAAAGAGAAATTACTGCAGATGCACAACATTTGTGGATAGCTCAATTAAAAATATATCTGAAAACAAATATTAGTGATTGAATGTGGTGTTGTACAATTAAGCCAGCCAGTAATGTATCATCTTATAACCTGACTTGACAGGAGTAAAAATAAGTGCATACCTTTACTTTCTGTGATTCCTCTGCGCTTAGATACTGGCTGCTCTTCAATTAAGTCATCATCAGAAACACGCTTACGGAACTTTCTTCTCGTTGACATTTTGCTGTCAGTATTATTTTCAGAAACAACTTTCTAAAAATAAAAACAAATCAAAATACAAAATAGATTTTAAAAATAAAATTACATCAAAACCATAAATAAACTGGTTCTTAGGTATATTTAACAAAATTCATACCCCACCCTGGAAAGAAAAATTAAGACAGCTTAAAGAAAATCACTCCACATGAAAGGTAGAGTTTGAAAAAATTAAAGCTCAGAGAAGGACTTCATATGCCACCCCTGGAAATTGATACTACAATCCCTAAAGTCAAAACCATAGTTTGGTGTTCTGGATACTCACTCCAGAACACTACAATAAACCAAAATAGTTCATTTTAACCAAAACAAAATAATACTATAATAATAATAAAATCATTCTACAAGATATCACTGATAATTCATACCCCAGGACCAACTATTATTTGTCACAGTGATCTTGACTTGTTTATGCTAAGGTACCAAGTACTTGTCATCAAAATTAAACAGCAGTATAGATTCAAAATATTCAAAGAAATGCTAACTAAATAACCAATTCATCACAGCTTAGCTTAAAAAAAAGAGGAAAAAAATCTGGTGTGGTGTGCGCACATCACACAACTTTCACTTACCACTCTCTTCTTTATAGACAAAGAGAAGTGAAAGTAAAAATTATAGACGGTATGAAAAAATATTTAAAACAATCAATTACCATACGCTTTTCATAGCAGTCTAATATATTATATTTATTATGTTTGACACTACCTATTTCCTTTTACAACAATATATTTCAATAATTTATTTGATTATAATAAATAATTAAGTGCCACAAAATATTTTTAGTTCGACAAGAGTGCCACTGATAAAGAAGGCCGGTATGTTTATTTATATTTTATTGGGGGTATTTTTATTTATACAATTACATATACAAATTTTAATTTTTATATTGCTGTAATCAAAACTGCATATCTATATATTTATGTTTACGTATATAATATTATCGGCATCCGTTACATATTAAGAATGTGTTACATATGGAAGCCTGTTCTAATCTTTCAGGCGAGCTCGTATTCATTTGGTCTCTCTATTACAACTATTCTCCTTTAGTTAATTATCAAATTCTTTCATATTATATATTTAACTATTTTTTCTATCAGAGTTAATTGTGAAATGGTTAATTATTTTAAATAAAAAAAAAAATGCATCCTCAACTAACTTCTTCTGAAATTAGAATCTGTGGTCAACCATCTCCATACCATTATAAATATTTAAAATATTGGATAAAAATATTGATACGGTTTTTAATATATTGATATTTTTTCAATATCTACCGCAAGAAAAATAACAATACTTAAGATGTATTGTCTAATATTTTCAATTAATTTTAATTAAAGAAAAAAATTACCTCCTCTTTCCTTTTACGCCCTCTTTTCCGCACTTCTGAAACATTCAAAGATTACACAATTTTATACAACAATAATAGTATTAATACTATTAAGGTAAATATTCTTAAAAATATTTTCAAAAATACAAATCAATTTAATGATGATTTTCTTTTGAGACTATATGAATCAGACATTAGAGAATTGAATAAAAATAACATTCATCACACACAGCGAAATATCATAAAAAAATGATTCATGAAAGATGAAAAATTAAAATGTAACAAAACATTACTAACGCGAAACAATTTAAAACAAAATACAAATATAAAAATAAAGATAAATTGAAATAAGTACATATTGAGAATTATGAAACATAGATTTTATTTTTCAATATATGTGGTTTGTTTCTTCTCAAGAATAAATCATAATTTGAATTACATTTAAGATTTCATTATAGAATTAGCCGAAAATATCATTGGAACCTTTGATGAAATATGAATCAAAAACATTATTTCAATAGTTATGAGGATTACCTTTGACAGGTTCTTCTTCAAGAGCAATGGGTAATTCATACTGAGGTGAATAGAATGGTAATCTCTTCTTATTTGATTTCACTTCTTCAATCCTTTTTAAGCATTGCTCAATATCCTCCTGAAAGAAATGGCAATTTCAGACAAGCATAGCTGTATACAAGTAAATATCCTAAATATAAAACAATATCTATTCTAATATGAGAGAACATGAAACCCAACTGTAAGAATGTATCCATCATAACACAACTTTCCAAAACAGGTGAATGAAGTTTGGTCAATTTTCAAATTGTGCTCGCTTAAACAGCTACTTATTTAACAAGACTTCTAAAAGTTTTTGTGTTGATTTAGCAGTGTATCATCAAGATGACATCTAATTCCTGTGTACTTTTTTAAAACACTTTGGGACATAAAAAGTTATGTTTTCATGTTTACGAAATTATTGTTTGAACTGGATTGTAATAGTGCAGCACAGTAAACACGAATACATAAAAAAAAAAGGTCATCTACAAATTTACTTATTTGTAGTAGTTTTCCTGCTTTGTTTTGTTTTTGATGGCATTTCTCATGAGCATCTACACTGAGGCCCTTCCAACGACAAGGATTCGATTGGAAGTATCTGTGTTTACATTGCAGTGGTGCATTAAATAGATAGACAGCTTTCACATACTATGAATTTAATCAACTTGGAGAAATTTGGTCACAGCTGGTATAATGACTAGAAATCCAGACGGTTTCTTTATGACTAATCGAATTCATAGCGTAAGAAAGGAGATAAGTTTTTTTTTCGGTGCTTTGGACCATGCATATAGCATAGAAAAAGCCTTTATTTATTTACTTTCATTTAATGATTACAAATTAGTGAATAGAGGTTCTAAAGTTGATAGAATCATAGTCATTATTTTAGGATTTTTCAGTGTTATTTATTGATGAAATGGTCCAAAGAAACCAATCATTTTGCAGATTTAGTTTAGTTTAAAATATTATTGTAAAGTGAGAAAGCTTTACACATAAGGGGCTAACATAGCTCTGAAATTAAAACCCTTGTTGGTTTCCAACTTCCAAAAACCACTTTCTGTTTCTTCGGAGAACTAACATCTAGTTTTAAAGATAAGCTATTAACAAGACCAGCACTCCATTAATTTTTCCTTACCTCCTAACAAAATTATACCTGTTTTGAAATAATGTTACCCTTTAGGTGTAATATTGTCGCTGTACTCTCGCTTTACAGGAAATTGTCATTTTTGCCACAAAATTGGTCCTTCAAGGTCAAAAGTGACAACAAATGCAAAAACTCTAAATGTTTTTCAGCTTTCACGAAATCAAACAGATATGGAGGTGTGTTGATGTCGAAAACTTAAGATGTAGCCATCTATCACGATACCAAAAAATCATAAGTGCTTCATTAGATGCAAAGAATCTCCCCTTTCCAATAATTTTACAAGACCTCTATCATATTAAACCATACTAAATGGCTTTGAGACCGGTTCAATGAATTGTCATTTAATGTGAAGTTTACCATATGTTCAGCACTAGAACAACGAATAAATTATCTAAAAGAAAACAATTGAATTAAATTACCATTTGTCGATTTTTTTGATCGGAAAACAGTTAATTATACGGTCTTGATAGAAAATATTCTGGTAGGCCTAATTTTGGTTCAACGAAAATGGCACACTGATTGTCCATCATCTGTTATAAGACAATAATCTGACTAAAATTAACAAACCTGCATTCTATTTTCTACGACTGATAGCCCTTTTCTTCTTTCTTCTAATCTACTAAATGCACTCATGAAAATCTTAAATCCTTCCTTCACCTGCTGATCCATGATGTATAAATCCAAATTATTTCAGATTAAACCTAAACAAACAAAATATATAAATAATAAAAATATATCAATTATGTATTTATATGCAAGACAACTACAAAAGGATTGATTAAAAATAAAAAAATACATATATAAATAAAATGTATATCTAAGATTCCCGACCATTTGTTTGGCCTCCATTATGTATATTAAAAATTATTCAAAAACTTTCATTTACTGATTCACTTGGATTATATGAGATTAGATTTGGGAAAAAATTTACTTAGATTAATTTACTAATGATATTCATTTGAAATAAAAAGAAACAAGAGCAAATACTTTAAATTAAGCCTAGATATGAGGCACTTCAGCTATGATGTCTATGATTTTTTCAACCATCTTCATTAAAAATATTTTATGTCCAGTAGTAAAAAAAAGTGTCATGTTGTAACAGTCATATCTTCAAGCTGTCAGAGTGGACTGTCAGGTCTGATTTGACTGGAAGGTTTTGCTGAGAAATCGTGACCAGTATATAAACCTAACACAAGCAACACTTTGCTTTCTAAACTAATTTTTCGGTACTACTTCATTTAAGAATGGTACCCATAATTATCTATTACAACTGTCTTATGCTACTGATGGAATACAAGTTTTTATTATTGTGTATCTGTCATACAACATTTGGCAGAACTGAACAGGAGAGGCAGGTTTGACTAGGATTTAGGAGAGTCCATTTTAGAACAGTGCGTCTGCTTTTTCATTGCCATAGATTGGTAGTGTGAATAGTCCCCATCCAGCTCTACCTGAGATACCTTCAGCAGCACATGATCTATTCCCTTTTGACATTCCAACACCATTTTTAAGTTTATCATGTCAATATAAATCAGAGTTTGGGTATCAACTACTCACTTAGCTATCAACACCTCACTCTAATTATCAATCACATCAAGGAAAAACAGTCAGAGAATAGAAGCAAACAATAATTCCTACACCCAATGAAGAGCTACATACAATCGATGGCTTTGGGTTTGGTTTGGATGGAGGGACATAAATTGTCTGTTGAGACAGTAAAATGGATGTTTAGCAGATTAGCACTGCCAGTTATTTTTTAATAGAAACCTATGATTTTACATGATTATAGAAAAACACATGATATCGAAAGCTTTAATAATAATTTACATAATTAACATTTATAATAAATAATATGGAAGTGGTAAAAGGTAATCTTGTATGCTCTAACCACGTATTGGAGAGAATTCCTTTCTCATTTCTACATGATCGTGCGTAACACCTCTACCTATCATAAGTACCATTTCTTTCTACAAGTTTCATTAGGTGTCCTTTATTATAGAAGCTTATGGATAAAACTTAAATACTTCTCTCTTGTCGTTATTCCAACTGGAGTATAACCTAAAGGAGATTGTTTTGCTAGCTAAATGAATCTATTTATTAACAGATGCTTATATAATAGAAGAATAACAACATTAATTAAAATACAATTGATACTGTTCCTATTTAAAAACAACTGACTGGGTATTCTGCGAAATACCCATAAATTTCTCTGACCTAAGTTTCATTATTTAGGGTCCAATAGATCTCCCAGCAATTCCAAAAAAAAATTTTAATATAGTAAAAAACTTATTAGGATGATTTAGGGGTAAGCGCATACTCGATTTTTAAAAACTAATATCTTTATTTTCGAAACAAAACATTTCTTTTATTTTCATCGAGAATACACCTGAGACGATTATTTTATAAATATTACTCTCAAACACAAGTTTCAATCAACCATTTTTAAGAGATTGACAGTTAATTTCAATATGCACTTTCCCTTCCTCCGAGGAATAAATTTGTACAATGTATCTTAACTCATTGTTCAAGCAGTTTTTATCATTATAAGTTAAACCTTGTAAGAGTTTAACATTTAATGACATTCAGAAATTATGAAAATCTGATGTGAACTACATATACATGACTAACAGGAAATTCTAGTGGCTGATTTAGAAATTAATGTTAAGTGTACATGCTGCATAAAGGGAAGCTCATACCAGGCAAAATTTGGGCTTATAGAGATGATAGCATACTTACTCCATAGTACCTTACCTAAATATAAACTGGCTATAACTATTTAATTCCTAACACAATTTAGTTCAATTGTCTATTAAATAACTCTCCAGTAATTGAATACTATCTTCATCAAGAATTTAACATTATCCATAGCAAATAAGTTAATCTCAATGTAATAAGGGAGGAAAAAAAGTAGATGTTGAGTCTAACTGGAACAATTATTGTTATGTCCATAATTGCTTTTTCATCAAAGGAGCACAATATTTTGAGCATATAATGGTACACTGAGAAAATAACTAGCTAAAAAGTAAAACTGATGAACATAGTCATATATAACAGTATATAATAAAAGTACTAACTTACTGGCAGATATACTTGCACTGGAATATCCACTAAACTTCTGAAGACACTTAAAGAAACAAATTTGATTACGAAACATTAAGGTTGATAACTAAACCATAAAAATAGAAACAAAATTAAACATTAAAAATACAAGTACTAGTCAATTAAACCACAAATTAACCATAAAGAGAGAGAACAATTAAAAAATAAATAAACTATAGTAGATTAATTCTGATCATAAAGAACTTACTAGAATCATGTGATATTTGTGAAACAATATTGTCTGATTATAACCCGAATATAGTAACGATCGCACTAATTGACTATTGTGAACAACCGAATAAATATACGCTAAGAATTAAAAATTGATCAAAGATTCCGTTTTTACTTCAAAATATCGCGACTAAAATTATAAAACGAACAAAACCCACCCCAAAACAAATCCTACTAACGGACTTTACACAATGGCTAGAAGGCTCCTGATTGGCCCACTCAAAACTTCCCGCCGAGTTGTGATTGGTTGAGATAATAAGCCTAGTGCTCTTTGATATTAATATTGTCAATATCTTCTGTCATCAACAATAAAAATGATATATTATTGTTTTAAAAAGTGTCAAGAGACTTAAGCTGCCTGCTCATGATGACCTATCTAGTTTAAAATAAACGAATTAAAGGTTCTCTCAATCTATTGCGACTGTTATAAACTGTAATTTTGATTTACTTTTTAAAACACGTCACGGACAAAATATAAATTTATATTTTTAATAACAACATAACAAGCACCAATCAAACGAAAGTAATAATAAAGAACTTTTCATTCATTATCCAAATACTGAAAAAATCTATTACATAAACGATGAATTAAATGTTCAATTAATATTTTAAGGGTGACAAATACATATACATCGCTTCTGTTAGTGCAAAAGGTCGTTTGTAACAATTTTTTATGTTTATTCTCTTTGCACTAAAGGTGACATTTTGTAGTCTGCAACTGTTACAATTAAGTAGTGTGCTTAATAGATGGTGTCATCGAAGGGATATTTGGTATAGAATGGCCATGGGTAAGCTAACTCAACTGTAGGTAATTGTCGAATTAATGCAAGGCAACCTTCTAAAAGAGACAACAATGATGTTTATGGCGCTGACTTACCCTAGAGGTGGTCCATCCCAAGATAATGATTAGAAGATATTCGTAAGACTCATTACTTTACGTCCACTATAAGACTTTTTTTGTTCTTCCCTACCTCGCCTTTTTAGGCCATACGGGATTTTCCCGGGCGGGGTGGTGAATTTAAAATCTCCATTTACCATAAATATTTTACCATTAATATAAATTTTTACCATGTCAGTATGACGCATAGTGCGGAAATACAATTTTTTTTAATTGTATCAGTTCTTAACGGGTGTGAATCATAAGGGATGTCAAACCACGGAAACTAGTGCTTGTCGTCTTTCCGTTACTTACACGCTTAAATAAAGAACAATATTCCCTTTTTTGTGACCTCATGGACGTTGTTATTCCGTTCCACAACGTCTTCAAGATATACAGAACACTTAGTAGTGCTCATTGTAGAGATATCTAAAACTGGGAGATGCCATTATTATGATGTAGTGTGGGCCCAGCAGACCCACAACCTTCATATCACCATGGATTGTGTCATTGGTAAATGAGGATGCCAAAGAACAATGCTTACCTGTTTTACAGAGTGCCGGTAGCGGAGGACAAAGATGAAGACGATGTAGAGCCCATTCACCAAGAACCACACACTATGGAGGGTAAAGATGGCATGGAAGAACAATCCTTGCCAGGACTCTCACGTCCAAAGAAAAAGAAAACGAGAATCTTTATAAAGTTGTGAGTGAAATATTAAATAGTTATTGATAACAGAAAACTTTTTCAGAACATCTAACTCTGAAACGGTTGAGAATTTAGAACGAAAACTATAGAATAATTTTCCCTGCGACGCAACATTTTCGAGATATAAGCAGAAACCTGAAAACTGTTCATCCTCATCTTCCCTACCCGACTCATCAACTAGACATCAGGACTTTTGATATGTTCACACCCTAAACCAGTTTCTAAAGATATTGTTTAGGTCTCTCCTGTTATGGGACATTCATTGACTGTAATATTGGATATATTTTTAATTGTTGAAAAAGGCACAGGGAAATTTGATCAATCTCCAGGTTAATTTAGTTTAGCTCCATGTAGCAGTAACCTTAACCTTTCGCTAAATCTTGTATAACCAAATCAAATCTTCATAGGCCCCTTTTAAAGCCTTATAAGAACAACACTATTAACAACACTGTTGTTAAAAAAGAACTGGCGACGGTATTGATGTAAATAAAAACATTAACGTGACGGTAAGCGATTACTTATTTGCCATTCTTTTTGGAACACTAAATCAATTCTGTCGCGTCTCGATGCATATCTGGTAGTACCTTATTAACTTAAATGAAAATATATTAAAAAAAAAAAAAAAAAACAGGACAAGGGTTCGATTCAAATAAGCATTCTTGAAAAATATTTCAGCTGCAACATTTTAGTCATTAGTTGATTTATAATACGCCCTTTAATAAATGGGTAAATACAGTCCTCTAAAATATGATAATTTAATTAATTTTTTGTACACATGAATGACGTACCTTTAAAACTAGTAAATAAATAGTTAAATGCCGTTGTTTTCAGAATTAAAAAAAAAATTATAATTTGCTTTTGCGGTTGTTTTCTGAACTGATGCTGCTGTGAAGTAAAGTTTGTATTCCTAAAACTCAGTGGTTTCAGTGTCGGCCTTCCAGGATCGGACATTCACCCTTTGGTGCACTCAACTCACTTGTTAAGTAATTTTTTTTGTTAACATATTTATTGAGAGATATTACAATCTGTCACATTTAAGGACATTTAAAATAGCGTTCAGAGAGCACATTCACACTCTATCAACAATAAATAAAAATGAATAACACGGAAAAACAATAATACTAAAAGTAAATTTATATAAACTAAAATAAACCAAACTAATAGAAATAATTACACACATGCTATACAATATTAAAATAAAAAATCATTCAACCTTTGGGGCACTCAACTCTCTTGTTAAGTAAATTTTTTTAAACATATTTATTGAGAGATATTACAATCTGTCACAATTAAGGACATTTATAATAGCGTTCAGAGAGCACAATCACACTCTATCAACAATGAATAAAATAGAATAACACAGAAAAACAATGATACCAAAAGTAAATATATATGAACTAATATAAACCAAACTAATAAAAATAATTACACACGTGCTATACAATATCTAAAAAAAAAAAAAGTAAAAAATCATTCACTCTAGATTTCCGAGCCAAGTCTTTCTCCCCAATTTTGGAAGGAAAGGCAGGACTCTAGAAGAACCCAGAGCCTCTCACTCAGCCGCATTACTAGTATTAATAAGGACCATTAGAGGTTGATCAGGGACGCTATAATCACACATGCATGGCTTAAGTGGAGAATCTGGCCGATTCACAGGCGTACCCGCGTTGGAAACCGGTTTGCTCTGGTGGGATAACGTGCTCTTCCTTGCAGTGACTCATGAGGTGGTAATGAATCAATCGCTCAAAGACTTTGCTGATGTGCAGGAGGAGGCTGATCGGACGTCAGTGCTCAGCCGTGTCTCCTTTCTTCCCCGGCTTGAGTAGTGGCACTACGATGACTTGTTTCCAGACGGTAGGGAAGTAAGAGATCCGCAAGTATGAATTAAAGATGTTCAGAAGGAAGGCTTTACCCTTCCTTGGGAGCATCTTCAATAGAACATACAGGATCTTATCCTGTCCCGACGCTTTGTTTCCTTTGATACGTCGTAGTACCGACTCAAGCTGGTTAAAATTGCAAAATATGGGCTTCTCAGTGAGTCCAGGTGAGGATACCTGCTGCACCGGTGGGGAGCTTCTAGTTCGCTCCGCATCCCTAGCTGCATAGCTTTTCGCCAGGTGTTCAGCCTGTTCCCCAGTTGTTAGTAGCGCGTCTCCTGATGTCAGATGAACGCTTCTCTTCTTACTAACGAAGGTTCTGACGAGTCGCCAGAGTGATGTCTTCCAGTCACCCATGAGTCTTGCTATCTGCCGGGTCATCGCATTGATGGCCGGTTTCAAGCTGTAATCACGAATGCGATGGAAAACGTTCCTCAGGTTGTTTCGCTGTCTGATCAGAACTAGGGTGTGCCGTGGAGGTCTTCTGATGGCGTTGGGCTGTGGAGGAAACTTGCGAATGTTCCTATTGGCTGGTGGTGGTGATGACATTCACAGCACTATCCCCTCGTATCGGGTTCTGCATTGTGCAACTGCTGGTAGTGTTTCCTCAACGCAAGATCTGTATCTCTTTCAGTCGGCCTTATGAAGTAGATATTTGCTCGCCGGTGGAGTGGCGGGCGTGCCCTTAAATGGGTAGAGCACTGGCCGGTGATCAGAGGGTCCATATGGAAGTGCGTGGCAAGCCTGGTCTTTGTGATGTACGTGCCCAATGGGTTGTTACTACCACACAGCCAGGAGGTGTATCGAGCATTGAAGTCTCCAAGGACAACATACCGACTTATTGCCTGGTCGTGTTGAAGTAGTAATTTCACTGACGTCCTGGGCAGCATCGCTCTGGTAAGGAGACCCCAACGTGATCATCCCCACCGAAACTCCTATGGAGGCTGAGGATACGAGAAAAGATCAGGAAGTGCCGAAGGTTACCAAGAGCTACCCAAGCGACACCAGATAAAGGGCCGCGCAGAGGTCACCGTACCTGTTGAAATTCTGTTTTCAAACAGCTACGAGGCTCTTGCGCCCCAGGAACCAGATGTTACCCAATCTGAAAATATCCGACCGCCTCCACCCATCATTCTAATAAGAGAGCTCAACATAGAGGAATACTGCTTCAATTCTTCTAAGCAAGAAACCAGATTTTACCTAGCTACTGAGGTGGATCATAACCCAGCTCTCCAGGCACTTCTACGAGAGAAAAAGGTAGAATTCCACACCTTTGCCCCGCGTGGAACCAAAAATTTGTCCTTTATTGTTTTGATGTCGATTACGACGTCAAAGACATAATCGACGAGTTAAAAAGGGTACTACCAGGCTTTAGACCCGATAGAAGGTTAACAAAACAAGCCCCGGAATGGTGAAAGATATGACATCGAAGCATATTAACATTTTTTTTTTTTTTTTTTTTTTTTTTTTCCCTACCCCCCAGGAATTTCTTGAATAAATTCAGTATGTATATAAATGTATATATACATAAATTTTCAACTTTCCTTTTATTGCCCAAGGGCATTTTAAGTTAAGAGGGCTCTGCACGCTGTATGCGTTCTTTGCATTTGTGGCCAGAGGCCTTTTATTATACCACTGGGCGTGGAGGGACCGCCCTGCATTAATTTATTATTTATATTATTGTTAGTGGGTGTGAAGTACAGAGTCCAAACCCCTTCCCTCGGCGAGAACATCAACCAAGGGGACTCTACCTTGCCACCTCCCAGGCCTGGGCGGCGGTACTATTTCCTGGAAAAGCGGGTTAGCACAGACCTTCAGCCCATCGAAAA